CTGCATTGTGGCTTCTTCATATGGATTGACTTTCAATCATTTCAAGGGGTATATAATCTTGGGAGTTATCGGTTATAGACAGCCAACACGAATCAACATTTTCCATTTGTTTTCTCATTAATAAAGAGGGATTTTATGGACCGTGGGATAATCGCGTTATGCGTTTTTATGCGTTAAAACAAACAAAAACAATAGGGTTTTTGATTTTAATTTGCAATGGTTAATCTATTTCAGTAAAATACCTAAATAAAAAAAAACTATTTCTATATCTAAAAATAAAATTAGCATAATATCTATGAGCATAAATAAGGCCACTTAAGAAACTTTATTTAAACTTAAAGAAAAGTGAATCTCCTTATAACTTTTTGAACCAAGATCACCCATATTTGGTCCACAGGGTATCGCACTTTTCAAAACTTGTGTTTAATTTATCGATTCCCAGTGTTTGTGGATTCTTTGCAGGCAAAGTTTTTGTCCCCAGAGCTGCATACTTGCCATCTCAGTCGCATACTAAAGCGCCATCTCTTTCTACTTCTCAGAGTCTCCGCTCGTTTATGTGACTCGCATGCGAGAAAAGTACTCCATTCCGTGAATCGACTTTAGCATTTCATTTGCCAGCCAGCTACTCACTCTAATTCTGCGCCGTTCATTTCATTTCATTTCTGTGTGGGTTATGTTCGGCACGATTGCCATGGAAACTGCAATGCCAAAGCGCATTATTTGATTATGCAGGGGGCACTCGGGTGGAGTGAAAGAGATGGGTGGGGGCTGGGAAGAAAGAGACGGGGGTCGAGGGAGATAGGTCAAAGAGAAAGCCAACTTTTGTTCTATGATCCTTGAGTTCCGCCTGCACTTGCATAACATTTTCAGCTGACTTTCACGGACCACCTAACTGACCAAATGCATTTCAAAATGCATTTCCCCCCAGTGAAAGCATTACGTTCTTCCACTCTTACTCTAAAACCACTCTGTTTCATAAATCATTCATACGCCAGTATTTTTATGCCATTCGATAAGTGGCTCTCGATTGCTTACATTTCTTCAGAGGCTCCCTTTAAAAGGGCTACAGTGGGTGCTAATAGTATGTACATTTTTATAAAATATTTTGTGGTATTAAAAAAATAAAAATGTTTATAGATGGTATTTAATTATCAAAGTTTTTACTAGGAATGTTTACTCTTAGTTGCTGGTTTTCCAAAAATTTATTCCTAAGCTTTTTCAAAAAAATGTTTTGGTTTTTTGTTTGAAACTTTGTCAATAGAATTTATAGGTTTACCAATGGTTTACCAAATTTATCATATATTGAAATACTCTTTTAAGATTCTTCTTACTATATCTAAAAATTATTTTTATCACATATTTTTCTATGAACTTCTTTTAAAATTTGGAATATCCACTGTGCCCCAGTTCAGCTCTGTTTGAAGCTCTCTCCCTAGTAAGCAAAAAAGCATCCCGCCTTGGATAAATTATGTTAATTTAGTTCTACCCCTCCAAACCCCCTACTCCACTCCACTTTGCTCTTTAATAACTTGACAAATGAAGAAAAGAAAAAGGCGAGCGGAGAAGTCTCCTCGACGGACTTACGACTGCCAGGCATATAATTTCGCAAAAGCGCAACAAATTGTTAATTTTCCTGTGCTCTGCGTCTCTTTCGGTTTCTGTTAATTTGCATATTTTCTTCGTTCTTTCGTTCGTTTTTTTAACGTTCTTATAAATGAAAAATAATTGTTGAGCGTGTCTACAAAATGGTAATAAATTCTAGACAAGTAAGGCAAATTGTTGCCTTTGGGTTGGTTTATTATTTAAAGGTATACTTAAGATTTTCGAGTGCCTAAAAGAATGGGCAACTTAATCTGAAAGCCATTTGTGGGACTATATTATTATTGAGCTTAAAGTTTTATTTTTAAAAATTCTTGAACTTTAAATGCAAGTGCATATTTCTAGGCATTGGAAATTCTAAAAAATGTGTTGAAGTCCATATGTCTGTGGACCAAAAACCGAAATGCAGACCAATTTCGTTCGTTTAATATTCGGGGCACAAAACAAATGGAATCCCTACGGAACTGGACATTTGCAGGTGGACAGGTACAGGTGATTCATAGGCCAGCCCAGTTCTCGCCCCCTGGATTCCTGTCTGTCTGAGAAGGGGAAATCCATCAAATGAGCTGCCAACGCGTTGTGGAGTCAATACAAATTGTTAACTTCCCCTTTTGGCCCCCACACTCTGGATCCAGCCTGCTATATTTACTTGGCCAGAAGTGTTTAAAGGGGAGTGCTACGGGGCAGAGGGATTTTCAGGGGGGTATATATCTCTCTGTGAGCATTATTCAATGTTTGCAACGAACGTGCGCAAATTACGGATTCAATGCACGTTGCCGGTGGCCAAAGCTTCCAAGCTTCCCGCCTCGAGAGTTTCAGACTCTGTTTACCCAAAAGCAGTCGATGTTGGTATATTTTTGTTGTCGATGTCTACCGCCATCATCAACGCCCAAGCAACAACTGTCCTATCCTATCCCTCTTACTCCGGCGTACTCCAACTGACGACACATTAAAATAATGTGTTTTTAAATTTAACATTAATTGCCGTTGAATGGTTTCTGAATGGGCCTGCTGCACTGGAAGAAAAAAGGAGGGTTCAAAAGGAGAAAACTTACATTTTGCTAGCATTTAAATAAATTTAAAGCCGTTTAAAGGTAACTTTACTGGTTTAGTATCACTGAAATCAAGTAAGGAACAGATCTTCAGCCAAATCAAAGCCTTGGATAGACTCAAAATTATTTTTTATCGATTTTGTAACATTTTAAAATAATTTTTTCAGTGTATGAACCGGCTGCGCCTGTTCCATTCCATTTACTGTTATTTTCTTGGCGCAGCATCTCAAGGAGTGCCCCTTTACAACAACAGCGGTTTTCGCTGGTCGCTTGTAGTGCATTAAGTCATCATTTTATTTTAATTTTTTTTTCGAAGACTTTTCCCATAAATCGTTTTTCCCTAGCCTGGGACTTTAATGTTTTTATATAAGATGCGATGAGGGGAAAATATGTTTTTTATGGCTTTTGGCATTTTGCATGCATTAGCGAGTGCCCCTCGAGTGTCTGTGTGCGCTTAGGCTAGAGTGAAAAATTTTGATTATATTTGTTAAGCAATTGAAAAATTGCTCATCGCTGGGAAATTGTAGAAAAGGGAAGTCCAATGTGAAAATTGAGATTTAAAGAGATGAACGGTGAATGAAATGTAAATAGGTTTGCATTTAATTTAAAGCTTAATCAACAGATTAGAAATAAAATCTCTACAGAGAAAGATCTCTCTTTTCTTGATTTCTAGAGTTTAAGGATAGTAATAAGCCCAGTATTTAAAATATTTCAATAGCTGTTCATTAATTTTCTAGTATTATATTATATCCCATGCATATGAGCAACCATTGTAGGACCTATCTTAACTTACAGATGTTCATATAGTAAACAGATTAACTCTTCAGGTTGATTGACCTAGAAAATCCCTTCAATTGTGAACTGACATTTGCCAGTGCTGATTCGCAGCCCCGTTTACCACAATGCAGCTCTAATCCAGTGTTAAGCCGGCACCTAACCCCACTCACTCCCCTCAATTACGTAATCGGAGCATTAAGTAGACCCAGTTAATGCTGGGTCTATAAGTGCCCATCAACAGGGATGCTCTCCCTCCCACTCGACAGCCCCCCTCCAAATTGTCTATGACTTTCATTCGATTTGCCTAACAAGCCATAATCATGTGCTGCTGTATTTAATTACTACCGTCTGGTCATATTGGAAATTGTCGGGGTTATAGAAAGAGAGGCATAGCTGGCTGGATGAGAGAGACGGCAAACAGGAGCTTGGCCGGCAAACACAATTGAGTCATTAAGCCGCAATCTAATTAAGCCCAAAAATGTGAAATGAGCCCGAGAATGGGCCACAACGCAAAGGCCTCTAAGTTGGCTTAGAGGCAGCGCGTTAAGCGAATTAGTTTTGGTCTTGTTCTTTGACTCGGGACCCCGAATAAAAAAAAAACAGGGAACTCATCTGGAGTCCACAAATTTTTACGGCACTTTAACGTGACCGTTTTCAGGTTCTCCTCTTTTTTACCCTCCGCATTTTACATTTTGGTTGGTCGTCAAGATTTATTTCGTGTCTGCCCGCGACCACGTAGGTCATTAAATTGTTTAGAAATCGCGGACAGCCGTATTAGAAGCCTCCGAAAGTATCTCAGTATCCAGACCCAAATAACCACCGAACCCAGCCCAAGACCCCATTCTCAAATGAACCACAAAATGACTGAGAACCGGCGGCACACGCATACTTACAGTGGTTTAACAATTTAAAGAATAGGAAAAAAAGAATAGAACAAAATTCTATCAAAAAATTATCAACTTTTACTTTTGAAGGGTTTAACTAATTGCAAAGATTTTTAAAGGAAGAAGATCCGTTAAAAATATTGTTAGAACTAAGATAGGACTAACAGTATGGACTTTCAAGATGAAATTAGAATTGGCGAATCAAAGAGAAAATCATTTTTATGAGCTGTTGTTTATCAATTTTATTGATAATTAGGGCTTAGAAAAAAGGTTTTTTAAGACCTATAGTAACAAAATATTTTTATTTAGAATACTAATTTTGAGGTATTTTTTTTTTTTGCTTCCAACATTTTCGGAACTTTCCGTACTCCCTAAACCCACTGTTACACCTTTTTAATCTTTAATTTTTTGTTGGTTTTCCTAAGTTCTTTGTAGCTCTTTCTGGCTGATAGCAACCAGTCCATAGCCACGAGAAATAGATACAGTTAATGCCGCAAATGATGTCTAATGACGGTTTCGTCTTACGCGTTGAAATTGCCCAAACCGCAACAGCGACGGTTGAGTTGGGTTTTGGCCGGAGTGTGTGATAGAAATTGATGTGGACTTTGGGAGATTAATGCGCCAACGGATCAAGGTCGCATTGGTGGCTAATCGATAATAATCCTGGCTGGATCTCAAGACGACTTACCTTCAACTTTGGCCAGGGCCAGCACGGAGATGGTCTGGAGGGCGGGCACCGCCCAGGCGACCAGGTGGAATAAGTGCGACTTGTTCTCAATGGCCTCGTGGCCCCATTTGAGGCCGGCGGCCAAAAACCAGGCGAATGCCAGACACGACCACCACGCGAAGGCCGCCATGCAGCAGAAGTAGAGTGCCATGAATAAAACCGTGCAGGACGTGGTTTGCCGGTGGCCCTGTCGGGAAAGCAATGAAAATAAGGTCAATAAAATCACAATTAATTTAAGGCCAGACAGGAAGGGCGAAGTTTTCAATACCCTTGCTGGCAAGGTACATGAGGAAAAGTATATAATAAAAGTTAATAATAAATGTAAGTGCCTTTCTCTCATCCGAATGTTTAAAGTAGGTTTTAGTCCTAGTAAAGGTAAGGTATAAAGTAGGTTTTAGTCCTAGTAAAGGTAAGGTATATATACTTTAGCAAGGCTATTATTAGTTTAGAATTTATAAAAAACTAATACAAAATTAGGAACATAGTTAAATGCCATTCGAAATTAAATCAAGTGCGTTTTATGAAACGTACAATTTGAATACATACCAACATCGTATATAGAAAATTTAAAAAAATTAATTGTTTTAAAAATGCCTACAATAAACGTACAATGTTAAATGTTAAAACCCTTCTTTTTTTAAGTACTATATTTAATGTTGGTGATGTCCCTAGGAAAAACAAATAATTTCATTATATTAAAAAAAAACTTTTTCGCAACATATTATACGACTGCAAAATTAAATCTTCCTGGAAAAAGGTTGGGCTATTAGCAGTTACACATATTTTCTAAGTCAGTAACTTATCATTGATTTTATGACATTAAGTAATTGGCTTTCCAGAATCCTAAATAAAATGTATGTCAATATTAAATCAAGTTTCTACCATTTAATCCATTACTATTTTCTAAAAGGAACATATGAAATGGTGGACACAAGTAAGAGCTGTTGCAAGAAATGATTATTTCTCCATCTGTCCAGCTCCAGCAAATAAAAGTGACCTCTTTGGACAAATTAAAAATGGGTGAGGACTGGTTTTCCAGGCTGAGGCACAGGTAAAGGCACTGCTACTGGGTTGCATCTCACCTGGGTGATGGTGGACATCATCTGCAGGCGGCCGAGCTTGACAGGCGGCGGAAATGGTTCGCGGCACGACACGGAATCTCCAGCCCCCAAGCCCGCCACGTAGGCACATCCAACCACCAGGTAGCAGACGGCCAGGAACACGATGGCCCTCTCCGGGTACCGAAAACGCGACGAGTCAATCAGGAAGGTGAGCACCTGCAACGAGTCACAGAACGGGGAGAATGGATATTAAATATAAATTTAGATTTAATTAGGTTCGCCTTAATTAACCCCAGAAATGCTTTGATGTTCCCTTAAAAATGCATTAGTGTTTATATGAGTGCGGGTATATTAAAGCAGTGGATAACCTATTAGGGATCCTCTTCGCAGCGCCTTTTGGTCATTAGGCTCTACACATTAGCTGATTGTGATTGTTGTGCCATTTACTCCAAAAGCCGAGACCCATTTAATTCGCAAGGTTTCTTCTCCCTTGGCCAGTTGGCCTTAATGAATATGGCTGAGATGTCCTTAATTGGAATTTTACTTTTGGGCAGAAGGCTAAGACAAATGCAAAATAAAGCTCAAGAACTTTAATCACTTCAAAATATGTTTTTTCTGAGAAGGTGAAATGAATCCTGTCCTCTCCCTAATATTAAAAAAAATTTATTTGGCAGAGAAAGCAATTCTGATTAAATGGTTAATTAAATATAATTCTATTTTTTTGAATATTTTAGATTTCAAGCTTTTGTTGTTGCTAAAGGTATATTAATCGTTTCACGAATATTACTCATACGTAACGTTGTCCTTTGCAGATATTGATATAAATTGATAGATATCAATGACATCCAATTATCATCAATACTAACTCAATTGCCTTAATTGAGACCTTGAACATATTAACTCATATTACCAACAATTGCCAGTTTGGCTAACCAGCAACCAATCTAGGGTTTCTCTGAGACGGACAAAGCTTCCGGTTTGCCAGAGGGCCAAATGGGAATGGATAGACAGAGATAAAACCCGAGATAAGGCCAACATAATGGTTGACAATTCCTCAAAGCTTTAAAAGCAATTACAATCCACCCAAACACACACAGAGGGATACTATTTTCCCTGCCCTTCCCCCAACCGCAAACTCACACATTAAACTTCGCCATCCTTCTCTGAATTTCTCTGTTGCCTGTCTGATTACGCGCCATTTAAATAAATTCATTATCATTCCCACTAAGCCAGGCCAAGGAGTCTTTTGTCTAAACCAGAAACCCCGAACCAGAAAACCCAACCGAACCCAAGCAAAGTCATTTAATTTGATCATTACAAAACTATCAGAGAGAAACAGTTAGCTGGAAGTCGAGTGTGTTGGTGTGTGGGTGTCCTCGTTCGCGTGTGTGTGTCCGTGTGAGTATCTGTGTGTGTGGGCCGTGTTTGCGTTTGAGTTTGAGTTGTTCGCATTGCATTAATGTGCCGAGTATTATTGTTGCCACGACGAGACCTCTGAATTATTCATAGATGCAGAACGCACTTCTCGGCTCTGAGTCGTGGCTAACATCAGTCTCCCTCACGAACCACATAGCTGCACTGGAAAAAAATATTCCAGATAATAGTCACCTGGTATTTCATAAATTAAATGTGTTTCCTTTAAAGCTTTAACCGTTTTGATATAATATAAATATAATAAATCCATTGAAAATCCTAACATGTTTGAAATACTTTTTTTTAATTTTCGTAAAATATTAATTTGATTTAAAATAATAATGGGTGTATCATGTAAATTTAAAAATATAAGAATAGTTCCGTATATGTTTTTATTATTTTATTAAAATTTCACTATCGTTTGTTACCAATTTCGATATAACATCATCGAAGAGTCTAATAAATGCATCTTTTCTACACCCTATTTATTTTTAAAGCCCATTTTTATCTTCTGTGTCTTTCTTTTTCATAGGAAAATCTTTTTTAGCCCTGGCTCTCCTTGAAATTATAGTTCTCTTAGCCAGCTTACATCTAATTTCCACCTACGCATTGTCTTCGCTGCCCCACCCTATCTTTCCATCCTCATTTAAATGCAAAATATATTCGTGAGGGCGGCAAAGAGAAGAAAAGCGAATAGGAAGTGAGTCAGTTTGTAACTCCTTTTGTTGACAACGCTCCACTGCAGAAGAAACAAGCTGAGAAATTGAATTGAATTGTTTATTTATGCCAGAAACAACAAGAAAATGGGGGCTTTCCAACCCATCTCCTCCAGCTTCCCGTAGCAATTTGTTATTCCACGCATGATGGGTGAAAAAAGGGGGAACATTTCTGTAGGTGTGACTAGCTACAAATGAAACGAAATAAGCTGCAAATGTTGAAACATTTGGCAAGCACAGACTTCCCTCCCTGCGACACGCCCACAAATTATGCGTCATCGGGGGCGGAAGTTTTCCCAACTTGGCGAAAAACATGCAGCGTTTCTTTTGGCAACACCCACACGAAATTCGAAGGAAATTCACATTGGAGAAGAGCTTAGTTTGAGTGGCACTCGTAGATGGAAATATTAGAGCTCTTCAAACATGGGATCTCGGCGAAAAGTTTTCAGACTTTTCTAAGAACTCTTCAGAAAAATTTATATTAGCAAAGATTTTAAAGCAATATTTTAATATAATTAAGTTATGTTACAGTCTAATGATATATATTTTAAATTAAAAAATGATTTTAATATCGTTATATCTGTGGCTTAATTACCCCATTTCCAATTCTATTAGCAACCAGACAAACAAAACCATTTTAAAAACCTCTCCAATTTGATATAATGCCAAAAACTTCAACTTTATATAACTTCTACCACAAAACCCCAGGTGACTTTTCCAGCAAAAAACTTTTCTCAAACGCCTTTCCCATTTTCCATTTCCACCGGCTGCAGTTAAACTTCTTCCAAACATTTCCGTCAGCCGGCTCTAAATAAATTATTTAACTCGAGCCGCCGCGCCTTTCATGGTCAATGAAAAAAAAAGTCATTTCAATTTTTAGCGCTCATAAATTTCGTGGAGTCGGGTCATTAAAATCAGCCCAAAAACTAAAGTGGTCACACCCACCTAACCGCCCCGAAAAAACCGCACCACCCCCTCTTCTTCGCTGGAGTGTTGAAAACTAAAAGCCACAGAAAAGCTTTGAGAGCTCTGCCAGCGGTTGCCAGTTTTTGAATTTTGCATAAATTAGATTTAACTCACAACTAACAGACTGAAAAAAAAAAATTGTATAAATTTGCATAAGAAAACAACAACAATTGTTCGTTTTTTTTTGGAGGGTTGATCGTCCATTAGAATAACTAACTATTAACATAAACATTCCAGTCAGGTTGGACAGAGATTGCGGCATAAATTTTGTGGCAAATGTTTGCGCCGATTTTTAATATTTGCTGTTTTTGACATTCAATGTATTTTTTATGCATAACAATGATTAAATATTTGGTGCATATTTTAAAACTATTAATAATAGAGAAAAATACGTTGGATGAGCCAGCTGTCAAAACAAGCAACCGAAAAAAATGTGTCAGAAAATGAAAATGTGGGAAAGGGTTCGTATTTGGGATGAGTTTTCGGATGCAGTCACCATGAGCTGTCATATTTGCTCATATCATCTCCAGGCACCAATCTCCAACCTCCAATCCCAACTATCGAAATATGCGCCTCACTGAACTTTCAGTTTCTGTCTCTTGATTTTCCCTCTTTTTGGGGTCTCCACCGAAGGTCTTGTAATTAAGAAAATGTCATCAAAGTCAACGACTAGACGATTATTTGCTCTTTCAACAAACACACACTGTCATTTCCTCTTTTCGCTTTTCATTGGAAAACAAATGTCAAGAAAAAAGGCGGTTGGGGGGAAAAGCTCACTCATTGTCTCATCTCATCTAATGCGCTTAATGAAAAAGGTGTTGATTGTTGACAGTTGACGTGACACACAGAATCCCCCCCATTACACATTTCCCATTTTCCCCACATAAGTTTCCCTTTGCTGAAATTCCACTGACAATTTTACCTGTCGCATGAACAAAAAGTTTTTGTGGCTGCAAAAATATTTGTTTTAGTTCGCGAAAATTGAAATAAAATGTGCTTGTTTATAATTTCGGTTGATACTTGAAATGAAAAGCCCCAAAGGTTTTCCCAGGTTAGCAAAAGTTGGACTGTCATAGTAAATTGGTTGGGGGAAAAAGTTGGGATTACTTTCCTTCAGTAACTTTGACTTGTCTTAAAGTTTATGTTCCTTAACTTACAGGTATTAAAAATTGTGTTATCTTTTATGAGAAATGGCCACAAATTCTCTGCCTTTTCATCACTTGGTTATTTAAAGTTACTTCTCAAACCAATTTGTCATCCACAAACATTGCCTTTTTAAATCTTCAAGTACAATATTTTGGTTACAATCTGTGACATTGCTTTTTCAATATTTTCCCTAACACATTTTCATCATTTCAATCAATTAGCTGAGCACTTTATTTATTAAATACCAAAAACTCTCCTGAATGTCACAACAAAATCCAGATAAATGTGAAGCCTTTCGAGCGCAAAGGCAAACATTCATCGGTGAGCACATATTTGTAGATATATATTTTTTACCATGCCCATCTAGACCGAAGGATCAACTGCAATTTTCTAATGCTCTGGTGTGTCACATTTTCTTTTTTGCAGAAGCCATTTTCATTGACATATTTCTGTGTCATTGCAGTTTTTTCATCCACCCCCACACATGTGTAGTGAAAGAGAAAGTTTATTAAAATCAACAAACAAACAAACATAACCCACATTTCATGGGGAATTTATTGAGATGTATTGAGCACTATTCGCATCCGCACATAAACAGGGCAAAATGGCAAATGGAAAAGAGGAAGCGAAATAAAAAGCCATTCAAATATTTAATGTGTGTGCGCTAGAGGAAAAACATTTTCCAGGGTTCATAGAGGCTTATTTGGGTTAAAGTTTTAAAGCCAAACTTAAAAGGGAAAGAGCCCTTTGAAAACCAGTTTAAATATGATGTCTTGTATTTTATTATTTCCCAATAAATGTTTAGAATCTGCCTTTCATTAAAACAATTACTATAACTGACATATCCATTTGCCAGCTATTTTACCCACCTTCTAGTTCAATTAAAAATAATCAGAAAATGCAATCAATTCCAGTTTAATGATTTTCATACATTGGAATCAATCAGAAAATTTTATAAAATAAACTGACGTAATGAAATGGGAAATTTCCATCATCATCATCAACATCATCATCGAGAAAATGTTGCACTCGACTAAATAACAAAACACAGAGGCAAAATTTGCATGAACTGAATCTGATGAATGCGTGGAAAATGCAAAATCCAACGAATGAAAATGAAAATGAGATGGAAAACACTCAGAGAACATAATCATAATCGTAAAAAGTAAGTAGAATGAGCCAGCAAATGAAAGTCTTCTTCGTTGGCCCTGGAAAAACAATTTCGAAATTTGCATAGAATTTGTTGTGTGTTATTCTGCTGTTGTTATATGTTATGAGTTGCACTGATATGCCACGCCCACAAAGGCGGGCGGGCAATATCTGGCACTGACAATGGGCGACAAATTATATGCAATGACAAAAATTTATCACACACATAGAGGGCAGAGAATCGGTGGAGGCAGCATGCAAAACATGTCGCCATGTGAGTGACAATGTTCCCAAGGGGTGAATTTTTACCCCCAAGGCCCCGAAACGCCCCTTTTATCCCAAAAAAAAAGTCCTTTATTTCTCTGCGGCTGATGGATGTAGCGCAACTTTATGATGGGTGTGTGTGTTCCAGTCAGTCAGGACCTCTCCAGTTTTGATAGATGTGCTTTTTCGGGTCCTCCACTCTATCCTATCTCCCTCGTTTGATTGCTTGGGAATTATAAGCATGGTTATCTTATTCATTTTTTTGTAGCTCCTGTTGATTAGTGCCTGTCATGTGCTCGGTCCAGAGCACCTAAATTGATTTTTTATTCAAATATTGTCTGTTTTTTCACTTGATGGATATGAGCCAAAGTAAACAAAGCGTACAAAAAAAGGCGAACACATTTTCCATTGGGGGGAAAATGCCTGACTAACAAGTTGATTTCCATATGTGAAAGTGATGGAGCCAATGGAGTGAGACATTGGCGGAGAACATCCCTCACAGGACCTTTCACATGATGAATAGTTCCAGGGAGATGAGATAATTAGGCAAGTCAATTGATTGATTTATGATGATGGAATACGATTGAGTTAAGCGGGATAAATGGTGTCGGAAATAAAGGTAAGTGCTGAAATTTCAATCAAATCAATGGGCATAAGAACTGAGGTACAAAATAATTTCAGTACAGGTCGTAGTTTTTATCCTTTATAGATTTGATTCATTTTATTTACTCACACCTTGACTGCAAACATCCATATATAATCTGTAGGCCATCTATATCTCCCTCCCATATTTTCGTCATATTTCTTATGCCCCTTGACCTTTAACTTTTTAAGTTCGTTTCCATTTCTACTTCCTCGGCAGCCACATTCCCAATTTGATTTCTGGCACACAGCATCGCAAGGATTACAATGCAAGAACTATTTCCAATATTAGTTCAGGGCTCATCCATCCTGAAGGCATTCGAATACAGTCGAATCAAAGGGAGCACAGGACATGGCATGCCCAGGACATTCCGAAATATCAAAGGGCAATTCTAATAATATTTGAAATTTACTTTTGTTCTGCCATTTGTGCATCCCCACACCCCCCAAAGCCGCATTCACACATGCCACATGCCAAGGCGAACTGTGGAGCTTTCTTATCCCTTTATTCCCCTATATATATCCTATAACCTTCACATCCCTACTCCATCATAGGTATCCTGCTTGCCAAGAACGCCTTGGGGGTTTTTATAGCGAATGGCTTGTGCATATGTTTTGCCAAGTTTATTGAAAAATATGCGCTGACAGGTAATATGTCAATGCGTGGGATTTGCTAAAGTGCCAATGCCTTCGTCCTGGCATCCTACAGTGCTCGCCTCTCCCCAGAATAATGGACTTGCTGAAGGAGCAGGATTCAACCGTGAAAGATGTTTACTTTCAGCTGTAAGGAAAATATGGCAGCACTCAGGTAGTCAAGGATAAGTAAATGTGGGAGTGGGAATTGATAAAGAAAGGTACGGTTATGTTTTCTTACCCCCCAAAGAAACCTTTTCTTCACTAAACCTTAATCATAAAGCAACAAGTTGATATTACTGGGACAAATCTGCTTATCATATATGGGTATATCCAATACTTTAATTTACTTAAATATTACATAAATGGGGAAGTAAACACTTACCGTAAATAAGCAGCTGGCAACGCAGACCGCTGCCCAGGATCCAACCCAATATCGCAGAACAGTTCTTTCTCTTTCCGGGAAGAACATCGCATGACATGGAGCTCCGCAGTCATGAAGATCCTGCAATTGAATAATAACATTTGCGAATAAGTAAATTGTGAATGGATCCATGGGGAAAAGTCAGGGGAAAGCCCTCAAAGAAGGAAAATCATTTGCAGGCAGCGATTAATTAATATGGCTTAAATTAAATGTGCCCAAATTGGATTGAGCGTTGTAATTAAAGGGGATTATGGGAGGCGGCCTATAGAAAACGAGCACAAATTAATGGAAGAAGATATGTATTGTAAGCTTAAGTTTCAGAGGTATTGATAAATGATTGATTAAATGGCTTATTAATGAAGGCGCACTTTAACCAGAACAAGGTCCTTGTTACTTACTTACATACTTCATAAAATGCTTCACAACAATAAATATATTCAAGTCTTTAAACAACGATAAAATGCTTCCGTAAACAAAACAATTCCATTATAAATGGGTAATAATTCGTAGAACAACTCAAATTAGCATAAAATTGGAAGCACAATTTTGAAAATATGCCTTAAGGGTGACACAATCTCGCAGGACAACCCTCGAATACGAAAAATCTCATCGGGCTGACAACTCTACATACCCAAAGTCCAAACTCCGGACTCGAACAATAACTGCAGTTTAATGAGATTTCCCTGTAGAGAAAGCCTAACTTCATCCGAAACCCAACTCAACCTTGAACTCTACGAAGCGGAGGCGAATTCAACCCCCGCAGAAACAATTGCATTACGAAGTGCGGCAACAATGCAAACGCACACAAAGTAGGGACAGTAGGACCTCTTTAAAACGAATTATTCTTTTATTTATATTTCCTATGCTAAAAGTTTTAGTAACTTTAATTTTTAAATTTTTAAAATGTTTTCTTATCAAGAGTACCAAAAAGTATAAAGAATAAATAGAAACTTAGGGGGATATTTTAGTGTTTGATTAATCGGTTTTAAAAACCCTATGTATATTTATATTTCGGTTTGCGGTAGCTAAGCCTTACTGTACCCAAAAGCAGACAGTCCGAGGCAATTCCCCAGTTTGGTATTCACTCTGTGGTTCTGTGAGCGGGACAAATGGAGTGGAGTTTGGAGTTCTGGCGCATTGTAAACCACAAGAGATTTGAATTTTAGATAGCATAACACGCACGCACATAGCACACTCAAACAAAACCCCGAGGGCGTTTAAAAATAATGGAAGGGCGGTGGAGTTGTACGAAAAATATTGTTGCATGGCTTCGCCACAAAGAGTCTCTCAAAGTGAGCTCAAAAAACAGCTTGGAGATAAAGGAGAGACCTGGACTGAAGAAGACTTTTTGTAACCCCTTCTTGCATCGAAAACAAAAAAGCTACACTAATAAACGAGTTTTCTACTAATGTTTTTCAAAAATGTAACAAAACAATGTATGAAATATCTATAAAATATATTATTATTTTTGACAGTACCTAAAAAGGTTGTCCAAGCCAAATACATTTTCAAAAAGAAAACTTCTTAAGTAACTAATGACAGAACATGTATCCTTCAATACACATTTGTCTAATTATCGACTTCGAAAATAAATTGATATAAAATATATATCTGAAATAATTTTTCCAGTGCAAGACCCTTTGGACCATAGAAATCCAGAGAGATCCGAGGACCAAAGCCTCGCTGCAGTCGTCTGATTCTCTGTCAAAGAGCAAACTCCCCCCGAAAGTGTTGACTGCCCTGTCGCAGCGACTTGTCTCTGTCTGTGCTTTATTTCAAATTCCCATTAAAAATTTAAAATCCTCCCCTGAACACAGCAGCCCCTGCGTTTTCAACGTTTTTGGCAATCATCGTTAGGTTAGCAGCGCAAATTGCGTTTTTCTGGTTGGCTTTTGGGGAGAGTTTTTGGCGGGGAATCGATGCCGCCGATAAGCAAGTGCAGACAGAAAGAGATGGAACGCCCAGAACTGTTGACTGGGGCAATATTTACGCATATTTGGGGCGCATAAGGAAACGGATCCACAACAATAACATAAAGAAGCAGTTCCGAGGGTTCTTGAGGCAATGGAGAATCTCCTCTAAATTGCCTGCAGTTAGGTGGCCCGGCCACATTTATCTGAAATTATTCTTCAAGCTCTTAAGCCAGCTTTAAGCCAGGAAAGCGCTGAAAATTTAAATTTTAATGAACTAATTTTGAGGGACTCGAATTGGCCAGCATCAGAAAATGAGGCCTATTTGGGGGCTGGATAAAGCTGAGATGGCAAATGGAATTAGATTAAACATTCCCATTTTTGGTCAAGTATAATGTTCCGTGTTTTTGAGTTTATTCAAAATTTTAATCAAAAGAGCTTTAAGATTCTCTATTGAAGCTGATGGAAAAAATATTCTGACCAGAGAAATATAATTAAATTGTTACTCTTATCTTGCCATCTTTTCCATATCACCATAACATTTATCAGGCTTGTTCCGCGTAACATTTTATATCTTGGCTCGATCAGAAATCGCTTCCTGTGGCACTGGTCAAAAGATCTAACCAGCGATCCATCGATCTATCTTTATTACCGAACCAAAATCAAACAGACTGCCTCTTCTATGGGTAATTGTAGCCCCCATCTCCCCACTTTTACCTTTAAGAATAAAATGCCCCCAGAGCAGTCTGAAGCAACAACAACTAGTTGCAACACTGACCACAACAAAAGGAGTCGAGAGACTTGCATTGTTAGTCCCTTTTATACATACATATATTTTTTGGTCTGGATCCCAGACCGGGGTCCCATTGTCTTGCGATTTTTATGAGGCATGTATAAATAATTGCGCCCAAAGGCCGCCGACATAAGTTTTCATGCCGGCCGCGAGAGCATCCGACCATCAGCAGCAGCTAAAAGCTGGGGAAACAGTAAAAACAAGAACCGGACAGCGACTAAACTGCCCTGCAAGAGTCACTATAGTGGCTATAGTCCACCTTATCCGCCTACCTCCTCCTTGAATTCCACATCTCGCCTTCTACAGAGAAAATAAAATCAGCCTAAGGTACTCTACATGATTTGATTTGATTAATATAAAAATAAATACGCTTTATAAGATTAGGAATATATTTTTCACTATATCACTAAAAACCAGATAGTTAAAATTTATGAAACAGGAACTTTCTAAGAACCTCAAAAATTTCTTAGATATTTTTATAAAATTAGTTTTTTAAATATTTTCTAGAAGTTTTTTTTCATTGTGTAGTCGAAAAGTGGCAACTACAAGACCGAAACAATATAGAAAATTTCGTTTTAGTTGTATTCTTTTCGCCAGAAGGCACAAATAATCCACTACAAAAAAGAGGTGGGCAAGGAATAAAGAATGGCCAAGGGTTTCGGTGTGGAGAAGAACCAGAGCCATAAACCAAGTTTTGCCAACATTTAAGGAGTTTTTAATTTATTATAGATAAATTTTATGCCGTCGCGAGTTATGAGAGGCCAAAGGGTAGGAGGGGGACGAGTTTAGACAGAGCTAAGGGAATCCTTCCAGCTGGCCCTCGCGTCGTGTTTTAGTTGGGGGCGTGTTGATGATGATGGTGGAAGCTGCAAATTATTACGACTCCAAGAGATGAGACAACAGAAACCCAGGCAAAGTCTTGTGATGGGTACAGTGGGTTCAGAAATGGGTTGAAAATGTGCTGCATAAGTTTTGAACTATGTTTATAACAAAGGGTAATAAAAAAGACTGGAAAACAACAGAAAATCGTTATCAGAATTATGATTAAACTATGTGCTAACAATATAACCTCTGTTGTAGCACAATTAGGGATATATAGTGTATATACTTCACAATATTTTGGGATTTGTTATATACATATGCTTAGGCCTTAAATAATACCCTGAAGAAACTTCTAATTACTTTGTAGTTTTCACCCTCATATCACATCCCTCCCATTCCACCGTTGAAAACTATTCCAATTCCACTGTGCGCCTAGAGCTGCCAAACTTTTTCGAACGTACTTCAGATCAGGGTTTGAATCCAGACTTCCTCCTACCCCGACATCAGTCCCCTCCTAGGACTTTTCAGACAACCCTCGGACAGCGTTAATGATGATTCTGGCCATATAGACGGCATGTGTTTGCTTGTGCTCCCTTTTTTGGGGGTGTTGCTGACGTTGTTAAAGTCAAAATAGACAGAGCAACAGACAGCAGGAAAGAGAGCAAACAGGCAACAAAATGAGACGGAGAGTTTGAATATCCTGGGGGTTGATTCAGGCAGGATTCGAACAGGAAGATATAGGCAGGACGATGGTGTCCCCGAGGACCGGCTGTCAACTCTTCGTTCTGCTCCTTGCTGTTTTTCTTCGTTCAGGCCAAAACAAGCTGAAAAACCCTAAACACAGACAGACAAGAACAACAATTTGAATTCAATAAGGAAGCGGCAAAAAAGAAGAAGCCAAGCAAATTTCCACTCAGGTCAAGAGTTCAAATGGTCAGAAATACCCAGAATTATAATAAAGAAGAGTCAAAGAGTCAGACACGAAATTCCCCGAAAAATAAAAAAGAGAATCACACATTTTCCTTTGCTGACCGCAGAACACAAAAGAAGCCGACTGAAAAAAATGCCTGCTCATAATTTATTAATATTATTGGTTGGGGGTCAGCCAACTTGGCCCCCATAAAATTCCCCAAAACCCCCTCACAAATTACACATGTCGACACTTTATTAAAAGCCGGGAGAAGGAAAAAAAAGGGTTTTAAGGACTTTGATTCGATATTGGAGGATTTTCAGCTACTCTTTGTAATTTTTTTTTCCATTCAGGGTTTTGCGGTCTGCCAAAAAAATGAAACCGATCCGGAGGCTATAAAATGTCGACCCGTCCATATGTTGGTTGCGTTATGGAAAGAGGAAGAACCGGAGGTTTTAGGAACCGGAGGCCCAACAACTTTTGGCGCGATATCCCCTTTTTTTTTAGTTGTTGGGTTAACGCCTCCCTTTTTGTTGTTGCTGGAGGAGCTGCGCTTAACCCTTTCAGGGCCAAAGTAAGGGCACAAAGAGACAAACAGAAATTGCTGTTAAGGTCCACACTTGACTACATGCAAATTATGCCCAAA